ATTACAGGCCTCTCTCATCTTTTTAAGTGGGAGAACTTGCACAATTGGTGGCTGACTAAATACTTTTTTGCCCCACTGTATGTGGGGCTGCCCTTGAAGAACACTCAGAAGTTATAGCTGATCCAAAACATAGTGGCATGATTAGTTATGGGTGCATCTTGGTTTGCCCATGTAACACCTCTGCTATGCGAACTGCACCAGTTACCAATAGGCTTCCAGGTGGAATTCAAGGTGCTGGTTATCACTTACAAAGCCCTTTATGGAATAGGGCATGGCTATCTGAGGGACTGCCTCTGTCCCCCATTCTGCCTGCCCCATAAGATCTGACAGAATAGGCATGTTTGTGTCCCATCCATTAAGCAGTGTGATCTAACGGGAGTTAGAAGTGCGCCTTCTCTTTTGTGGAGTCTATCCTTTGGAATAATATCCCCCAGAGGTTCAGACTGCCCTGACTCTGCAAGCCTTTAAACAATTGGTGAAAATTTGTTTTCCCCCGCCAAGTTCTGGGATAGGTCAGCGTGTGTCTATCTGATATGCAGTGTCTATTTCCATTATGTTTATTGTTATATTTATTTTTTGTTTTAAGTGACTGTATCAGTTTTTAATCTGTACACTGTCCAGAGTCAGGTTGACAGCCTGATCAATCAATCAAATAAATACATATCTGTTTCTGCTGCAAATCAATAGTTGATTTGTTCTGAAGACAGGAAAGATGACCTACATTGTGACCTGTTTTCAGCCCCATGTATGGCTTGCAATATTAATAGCAGACTGCATTATTACAGTTCTTCAATCTAAGGTAAAGTTTTAATAGTCAAACATGTTGTAGGGTGAACAATCCTGCAGGGTTCTTTTAAATCATCCAGACTTTGACCTAGAATATTAATTCCAGGACAATATTATCTATTTCAACCACACTGTCATATAAGCACAGCTCTTTACCACTCGTAGTATGGGAGCAATGAAGTTCATTTACTTTGGAAATATTATTAGTAGAATTAATATTTTGTTTCAAATTAAGAACTAGCTGAGAAAGAATCTGCTAATTGGATGAAAACATTGTTTTGATCGGTTTCCCCCCCCGTTTTTAATGGATGGGAACATTTTAAAACACTTTCTCAAATTAAACTAGGAAATTACTTCTTCCAACGTGGTGATTCATTTTACTTTTTAAATTTCTATTGTTCTCAACTTCTGAACCCCTTTTCTGGCAACTTCATGCCATATCATTCTGCATCATGCCTAGTTTTCAATTCCCCCCCCCTCAATTATCAGCTGGCATTCTTTCTGTCAGCACTTTCCTGTTCACTAGCCAGGGTGGTTGAGAGTTAGGAGTTAAATTCCTCATATTTAGGATGGTCAGATTGGGAAGGATGGCCTACAATATAAGGACTTCAGAATGTAGCACTGTGAGGACATAATATTTAATTCCCACACCAAGCTAGGATCTAGAAGAATATTAATTTCTTCAAAAAATTTAAATCATTTAGAGAATTTCATTGATGGGATTTCAACTCACTATTTCAGTTCTGACATTTTAATGTTTTATCAAAGGAATTAAAGAAATAGGATGATTACTAGGAAAAGAGGTGATCTTATACACAGACACACTTATCAGTAGAAAGTCCAGTACAATTTTTCTAATTCTTACCTGAAAGATATGCAAACTTTTTTCTTAGCTGGTCTTCAATATCTTCAGCACAGAGGGGAACAATATCCTGATGCATGATTTCATCTGAAACAAAATATACTCCCCAAATCAATTCCATGGCTCACACGTATATCTTTGTTTACTGAAAACATTGCTATGTTATGATTTCACAACCATACTCAATGTCAGTTTAAATCTGTTGATACAATCAAAGGTATATACTAAAGTTGGCAGTGTTAAAATCTAACTACCAACACCATACAGTAATGCCACAGTACCGTAAGGAATCTAATTCTCAGGCAGCAGAATCAGAGGCTGGCAATGGGTGTTCTAAAATAAGATAGCATAAAATCACGGAACACATGTTGAAAGATGAGGTCCATAAGCAAAAGAATTATTCTGACACAGAAGAGTCCCTCATCTCTCTCAAAGTACTTATGAAGCAAAACACTCAATCATTAAATGTGTTTTAGTTAACAGAAAGACTCTTCCAATAACGAGAAAATGATGTTTTATATAAGCTAGTGGTATTTAAGCATATTTATGTGTAAATGACACTATTACCATCCTATCAAGGCTCAGAAAATCCACATAGGTGAAGACACAGTTTTCAGTTTATTACTTCTAAATGCACATTTTGCACGTTTGGAAAAGATGCAGTCCAAAGATACTATATCTCTATGTGTGCAAAGCCACAAACTTCTAGTGGCATCACTTTTCACCTGAAGAGTGCAATCACCAGGGTTGAACTTTTCCTTCAACAACCATGAAGGAAAAAAATTGAAATGTAGTTATGTACAGAAAGAACAGTGTATGTGCCATTTAGGGCCCGCTCATTAGAGAGCTGTTATATTTATTATAACTCATAACGGCTCTTATGGATAAACTCCTGATGCCAATAATTTCCTTAGCTGTTAATAATGCAACCAATGTACCAGAGAGAAAAAAGGAAGAAAGCAGAAGTCTCAGAATCCCACAATATAGAATAGTGTTTCTCTCTCTTAGCAACTTTAAGATGCGTGGACTTCAACTCCCAGAATTTAAAAAAAACTCCCAAAATGCATTGCAATTACTGTTCTTTCTTCATATTAAAGATTAATTCTTAGTTCTGACTAAGGCTATTGGAAATCACAGTTCAGCAAATCTGACAGACTATGTTGTCCGCATTGAGGAAGACATTGAAGAAAACAAAGTGAAAATACATAAGAATATTAAAAAGCAGAAGTACTGTGTCATGAGTTTGTGGCATGACAAATCTATGGATTTCAGGGGGAGAATAAAAGTAATAGGGAAGTCCAGCATTACATTACATTTTTCTGATGTAAGCAATATGTAAAACACAGCAGTGTTGAAACCAGAAGTAATACCAGTTTCTTTCACGGGGTGTGGCACTTTATTCTTGATCTGTGCATTTTGCATGAAAAATGTAAGTCATACTAAACAGACAGTAAGACAAGTACAGTAAGACAAATCTCACAGTTTTGAACATGGGTGCTGATAAATATAACATCAACTAACAGGTTTTATTATCTCACATAAACTTATCAGCTATGTAATACTGAATCTATAAATCAAAATACTAATTATAATAGGGTTACTTCAATACAATTATAGGGAGATGTTTAATAATGTAAACATGAATTATAATCTAGCTCACTAAGCTAACTAGAGATGTACCATGGACAGCACCATTCTCATAATACTTTCTACAAGGATAATATTTTCATATTGGAAACTGAATACTCAGTTTTTAAAAATGGATATTTATACCTACAATGAAAAAATCAGCAACTACTGCTGCATGTATCCATGATCATCTTTAGTAGCTTTCAAGACTGCCTGTGCAGCAAAAGAGTAGTTTTGCTTAACATATATGAGAGCACAGACACATAGCAACAGAGATGTATTGGAGAGGGCTCCAATTGTTAATTTTGGGGGGATTATTAGAAGCCGTAGTTTGATAAAATTTAACATGGTGACCATGGAGAATAGTGAGATAATATAGAGAGTAGCAACAAAGAAGGATCAGGTTACAGTGACCTTATTGTTTCCACAAGGGACTAAGCTGAAAAAGCTATAGCTCAATCTTGCATAAGGAATGCTGGATGGGAGAACACTTGAGAAGAAACCAAGAAAGGGCATATTCACACATTGTTACCAGGCAGTGTTAATCACTTTAGTTTCTCTCAGCTAGCTTGGTTTCAAAGAAATAGCAGGAAAGAGAAATAAGATGGGTTTTTCCCCCCTGTTATTACCAAATGAAGATTTAATTTACTTCTGTTTCTTTCTCTGTTGGCTGTAACTTGAAAAACCCTTGTCAGCAAAACGCCAGCCTCCCTGTGTGGTACTGTTTTGACGGGAGGGTGTTACCTACTTTGTTTCTCTCTCTTTCTGTAGCTCACAGGTAAAAAATACTCTCCTAGTTCAACTGCTTTCATCTCCATATGTTATCTATTACAGCTAACATCAACAAATCATCATTTCAGAAAAATATTGCCAGGAAAATTAAGAAGAGTAGTAGTGATATCTATGACTGAAATAAATCTTATGAGAGACATATAAAAGCATACAATTAAAGAACAAATTATAGATGTTCTAACAAGGATGATAAAAATCTTGCATAGCCAAGACTGAGACTAGCGCTGGTAAAATTCTTTAGCACTACTACAAACTAATAGCTATTCTTTGTCCATAGTAAAGTGCTAATGGGGGTGGCAGGAGCAGAAGACAGCAACAGAAATGCCAAAAGTGAGAGCCTGATTCCCTGTGTAACTCATAATAGCATAAAGAACATAAAACATAAAAGTGAGGGCCTGATCCCCTATGTAAAACAAACCCTTGTCACTGTTGGGTTTCTGGAGGTCCCTGAAGACTTGGTTGTGCTGGCACGCCTGGGGACCCCAGGGGACGGGTGATCTAGTGAGGTGGCTCTGTTATTTTTAACATCTCTTTGCTTATTTTTGCTTTAGTTTGATTTTTTATATTTTTTATACTTTTTAATGTATTGATTAATTTTTTAACCTTGTTATACACCGCCCAGAGTCGCTTGGAAAAAGTGAGATGGGCAGCCAATAAATTGTACGTACGTACGTATAAATAAATAAATAAATAAATAAAAATAAAAAACATCATAAGGGAAAACATTTTTCCCCAGATATCCTTGCCAACTCTACTTTAAGAAGCTATCTGGCTGCAGCTGTTTGCTGCCGTCTAGACCTTGACCTTGGAACCGAAGCTAGACAAGGTAAGATTTCCAGCTAGTTATCTGACAGGCAAAGAGAGGATGAGAGCCTTCTCACTCACACAGTGTCCCCAGCAAATATGGAACTAAGGTAGTACTCATTAAGCAGGGACACAAGGCTTCTCCCTAACTCGTTAATGAATGTTTCTCTCCTCCTTCTCTTCTTTTGGACAGATGAAAGTAGAATTTCCAGAATATCCAGCTGTGTAGGAAGTGACCACACAGGCAGTGAATTCTAATAGCTCATCATCACATCAGAAACACATTTTGTTGGGGAAGGCATGGGCAATAATTAACTCCCCATCAGTACTAATATGGATGCTTTTAAAGGTATTTGTTTTATGATTTTAAACTGTCAGGAATCTTTGAATCCTGTTACTAAGTAATACAATAAACAAATACGGAAGAAAACACTATTTCTTGCAACATTTTTGGCATTCTTAACAACAGAGATATTGGACAGCCAAAGAAAAAGCCTAATTATAAATGTTCTATTTTAAGTACATAAAACACATAATTGAGAATCATGCCTTGGAAGTGAACTACTACTCAGAAAAAACAAGGGAATCTTCTGTAATAGTTTACAGCATCATTTTGTTTAAGAATGTTCACTATATTACAGCTTAAATGCATAGCATTCATCATCTGCAAACGGGAACTGAAGCCCTGAGGCCCATCTTTAATTTTATATCCTTTTGGGCTCCATCTCATCTCTACCAGCAGCTGGCCTAACTCTTAACTGAGGCTGGAATTAGAAAAAGATTAGACTGTAGGGACCTTTATGTAGAAAATGACTGCAAAACACTGAATGAACTGAAGGAGCAGATGTCATTTAGGTCTTCTTCACTTAACATTCCCTTACAAAGCTCTCCTTAACGAACTCAGACATAGAAATGGTCAAAAACAGAGACAAAGAAAAAAGACTGAACATATTTATTAGCTTCAAAACTCAAGGAACAGCAAAACCACAGAAATATTCACCTCCACTTTCCTTCTTTTTGCAATCTTAGTTTTTCTTTTTTAACCCTGCTGGACTGTTTCAAATGCATTGCCATTTCAAAACATTGTATCTGAAAATTATATAAGCTTTCTGTTGAATCAATAACTGCATGCTTAAAATTTATATCTTTTTAATAAATATGTAGTGGTCATGATAGAAAAACATGGTTTCATAAAATAGATTATTGGTAGAAAGGCCTTTTTTAAAGCCCAAAACAGAAGCTAAAGCTTCTAAAAAAAAAAAAGCTTGCATGAATTTAATGAATGCAAGTATTGATGAATATGTGACAGAACTACATTATCAAGAATTGTCTCTCTGCAAACTAGGAAAGTTGAGTGACCAATGAATAAAATAGCACACTGGAGATTGGGATTAATGCATAAATGTGATTTCTAGATCTGGGTATAGGAAGCTAACACAATAAAACTTCTCCATGAATTGAAAATACTGTACTCAATTAAATGATAGACTTTTAACCTACTATAATGTTTTAAAGGAAACTTCTAGTTGCTAAATGTTATCTATATTATCTATAAATGCTATATATAACAAAATAACAAAAAATAATTGTTGAGGAATCATTAGGGATTCCACTAATATAATTTATTTTCAAATCTACTGAACTGCAACTAAGTCCAAGTTAAGCATAAGAACAATTATTTGAGATACAGTACTGTGCAAATGTTTTAGGCAGGTGTGAAAAAATGCTGTAAAGTAAGAATGCTTTCAAAAATATATATTGTAATTGTTTATGTTTATCAATTTACAAAATGCAAACAGAAGAAAAATCTAAATCAAATCAATATTTGGTAATGCTTTCAAAAATATATATTGTAATTGTTT